GGTTTATTATGTAACAAAACAGAGGAGAAAGAGACAACACCACCAAAGAGGAACTTAATTACAAGTGTAAGAACAATTAGCCACACAGCTGAACTCAAGTTTTATTACATAATTTACCACTTCAGTACAAAAACATAAACATAAACATTGCTGTTAACTGTATCACAGCTTTTGCTATAACAGTACATTAACCTTAACAAGTTTGAATATACAAGAATGGAAGTTCATTGCTGGATGTTTTCTGATCTTCTCTCCAATTGGTAAGAAATTTATGGTCTCATTCACATGTGAGAAAACTTTCTGCCACTGAACAAGTGAGTGCACAACACATGATCCAAATTGTTCCGGCACGAATCTATGCAGAACGCAATCCACTTTTGTTTGTCTGAACCTGGTGAAAAATGGAAGTGTTAGAAAGTTTGTTCATTAATCTGACTTATAAGTCCACTGCAAAAAGATGAAAGATGAAGATGAACCTGGTGCCTGCAAATTAGACCATTATGACTTTACGATAGAAGGAACATGCTGGACTTTGTGAGAGTCTTCTCCCTGCAGCCTATCCAGGAAATTTCCTGGCATCTCTTTGAACACTAACTCACGGAGAGTAGTTACATACTTTATCTCTTCCGGGAGCATCTGTAATCGCCTGCAGCCGACAATTTGTAAACTCCTAATCCTTGGCATTGCACTTTCTTCAACTTCTAACGCTTCCAAAAATTCCAAAAATTCAAGCTCTAGAAACTCAAGTTGAGGAAAGCCATTGGCTGAAAATTTCAGTTTCTTTCCAAGGAAAGAAGAACTTTTTAGTCTGAGAACAAATAGATAAGGCAGCTTCTCAAGTATCTCCATAGGATTTTTGTCAAGACGGGAATGATACAAGGTTAACTGGTTGAGATTTGGTGGGAATTCATGTGGCTCAGGCAGCTTTATTATCCCACCGCTCAGATGCAACTTAATGACATAGCGAAGAGAAGAGAGTTGAGAGAGTGATGGAAACACAACATCAGCAGACTTCAACGACAAGGAGTGGAGGCTTACAAGCTTGGCTAAGGAATCGAAAATTCTTACTCTGTTTGCAGTGAAGCTTCCTTTCAATCCCAACTTTCGGAGACTGATTAAATTGGCGGGGCTGGCTTCATTCCAACTACCAATATGCATGTCTGATAGAGTCTGGAGATTTTGGAGGGTGTCAATTCGCAACTTGCCAGCAAGAAGCGATGCACGCATGTAAAAGTGGCGTAGGCTTTTCATCTTCCATAACACATCAGGGATCGTCTGAAGACTGAAATTTTCGGCAATATCAAGAGTCTGCAGGTTAGACAAACAACCTATTTCTTCTGGAAGCTCCTCTATGGAGCTATGCTTCAATCCCAAGTACCTCAAATGGATCATTTCTCCAATTTGCCTTGGAATATAACTCACCCTCAATTCTTCTAATTCCAGGACTCTAAGGAGTTTAAAACGTGTACATATATCATAACTGGAAATTTGACATTTGATCTGATCAACTTTAAAGAAGAGGAGCGACCGGAGGTTGGGACTTGACTCTTCTAGGGAGAAAGAACCATTAGAGTAGATAGCATGGTGGCGGGCTCGAGAGAGAGCATGATAACTGGCTGGAGCTACTGTATCTAGATTCCCATGAATATATAGAAATTCCTCTGCCTTTGCCTTCGAAATGGAGAGATCTCGCATTAAGTCATGTAATTGGCAATGTTTCACTCTTTCATTTGCACTCCACCTTGCTACTTGAACCATATTTCTATCAATCAGCTCATTCAGATATTCCTCCGCAACGTCCTCCATCTTTCCGCCATGTTGTGGGATCAAGCCCTCTGCAATCCACATCCTAAAAAGTTTACGCGCAGAGAATAAGTAGTCCTCTGGAAATAACCCCAAGTAGAGAAAACAAAATTTAAGGTAATACGGCAAGTCATAATAGCTTAAAGCTAGTATTGCTGATACACCATTGGGATCACGGGCTAAGAGTAAGCGGATGGTGTGTAGAACCCTTTGCCACTCACTCAGCCTTCTTTTCCTTGAAAGCATCCCCCCCACCACAATGATGGCTAGTGGTAGACCAGAACATTTCGCCGCAATTTCCTGCCCAATTTCCTCCAGTTGTGGAGGACATACTCTATCAATACTTTCGGTGAATGCTTTTCTGCATAACAACTTCCAACTGTCCTCTTGGCTTCGAAATCGCAGTTCATGGGGAAGGCTTTGGGCATCTGCCTTCTGAGCAACATAGTTGTTGCGAGTTGTAAGCAATAATTTATTGCCACTGCCATCACTTGGGAAGGCCTTCGCAAGACTTTCAAAAGCGGTGGTGCTCCATATATCATCTAAAACAACCAAATAGCGTCTCCCTTGCAAAAGTTTATAGAGCATTTCCTCCAACTCTTCTTCTAACAACTTCGTCATGTCTTTTGTTCTTGTTGCAACTTGTTTTATAATGCTCTGCAGTATGTCTCTTGTTCTAAACTGTTGGGATACGTAAACCCAAGCACGGCAATCAAAAAAAGTTTGAACATCACCATGGTTATAGACTTCTTTAGCACAAGTGGTCTTACCGATACCACCCATGCCTACTATTGAAATTGCTCGCCATTGATCCTCCAGGACAAGGCGTGCCACCAGAGTAGCTATGTCTTCCTCCAGACCAACAATATCCTTATCCTGACCACGAGGAGTTGATCGCCGCAGCTTCAGTAGCCTTTCATTGGCAATGGCATGACTGGTTCCGTCTCCGATACTTCTTATGCCATATGCTTCATGGCTGATGGCAATGTCAGAGATTCTTGTGCGGATAGCTGCAAGGTCCTTCCCAATTTTGGTACGCGCTTTGAGAGTGGAAGCATATCTGTATAAAAAGTTCCGCTTCTTGTACTTGAAGGATTCAATTTTTAAGATATATGTGTCAATGAGGTCTTCAGCATCAAAAGCAAGATTTCTGACATCAGAAACCCAATTATGTACCTGTAAATCGCTTTCTTGCTTTGCATCCGCATCTTTTAAAAAACACTGCATCCGCTTCAGTTCATCTCTCAGCCGCTGGATTTCTGGACGGACATCCTTGGGAAAATGGATTTCAGCCAGTACATCAGCAACCCTTTCTAAAACAAAAATAACAGCAGCTTCTGCCATGTTGTGTTCGACAGAAAAACAAATAAGCTAATTAGACCCTGTTCGAAATTACAGAGGAACGGAATGGGGAAAAATGCGTTTGTTTGGTTTTGGCTCCTTGTTTAGTGCAGCGTATTTGAATGATTTGGCTGAGCCACTCCTAGACCTGGAGTGGCCCTGACCCCCCCATATTTTTACCACTCTTCTATTATATAATATATAATATATAGAATTTGTAATAAACAACTTATAATTTAAGTTAAAATGTCCTCTAAAACAAATTAGATATGACTTCATTAGAAATATTTAGCTCTAAACATATAAGTATTGAATATTTAAGTGTTTTATATACTTATATTTTCTATTTCGGCCCCCTCAACTTTACAATTCTAGCTCCGCCCCTGGCTGCAACCCAGTTTCCTTGAAGTTGTTGGCATTGCAACTTCCCACTTCATTGTTTAGTATTTTCCACGAAACTTAAGAGAAGCTCGGTACAGTGTATATTATTGTCAACTCGGTACTCCATTTCACAACGCGGACATGAAGACTTAATTGCTTGCACGAGTCTTCTTCTTTCCTTTGTCAACATCATAAGAAAAGCCAAGGAAATAACTTCAGTGGGTTCTTCATTCTAGTGGATGAGCAATGAGCTTGCAGCTACCGACAATCGGACTTGCTAGTCAAGATAGTAAAGACAGAAAAAACTGTTGCAAAAGTTTCAATGAAAACTGATAAAGAATTAACTCAAACAAGAGGAAAAAGAAAAGCAGTCCACTTAAATTTTATCTCTCTGCTCTGCATGATCTTATTGAGAACCGGCCAGAAAAAATACTCCGAAGATGTGAAAATTTGTTAAAAATTAAAATTGAATTACGCCCATGTTTTTCTTTAGAAAATAAAGACCTTTCGTCACAAATTCACAAAAGCAAATACCTGGACTAAATAAAGTAATTAAAAAAGAGAAATCAAGATTATGCTATTTAAAGGGTATAGCCGTGCGGCTAAACTCTTAAAATTATTCTATTTAAAGACTATAGCCGCACGGCTATACGTACAGCCGGGCGGCTCTACTTTTCTGTTTAAAGAGTATAGCCGCGCGGCTATACGTTTAAAATATCAGGGAAGGGAAATGGATGGACATAGAACCATGTGCTGAAACTCTTGTCGTCAACATTGGGGACTTGATGCAAGCATGGAGCAATGGAAAGTTAAGGTCATCTGAGTACAGGGTTGTTTTAAAGCAATGCGTTGCATGAAGTGGTAAGAGAAGGGAATCTAAGGGTCTATAAGCCATTTATTTGTGCAGATTATTTGAAGTTCAGAGAAAGCAATGAGGAAGGCAAGTTTGAGAAAGTTGGCTTCACTGTAAAAGAGTTTGCTGGAAATACGTTTAAAATTAGTGTAGACGAATAAAACTGATGAAATTAATGTTAGATGAAATCATAGAGCCAGTGTGATTTATGCTTAGCACAACCAACAGTCAAACATTTAAAAAATCATGAACAGGATGCTGATGCTCTCTGTTGGTGCACGTTTGGGAGGCACCTAACGCCTACACAAGTCAACACCTTTCTGTAAGCATCAAAGCACCTGCAACTTTATTTACATTTCAATTTTCAACCAAAATAAGTATAGAAATATATAGATATCCTCTCCTCTGTTCGTTTATGCAAACATAACATTTATTAAAAAGAAAATAATAATAACTTGCGAGATCTTCCAAATTGGAGCCATTTAAAGCATAAGCGATATCTAAGAAGTCAATAATACCCTCTCTCTTTTTAACCATAGTACCATTACTACACATACATACTTACATATATATATAGGTACACTTCCACTTCTTTGTTCTCAGTCTCACATCCTCAAGTTTATGCATCTAATTAAGAAGTTGGAGACAAAAATGTCGAGCCACCGCGTCACATTACCCCTGATCATGATCACTCTCTTCCTCTCTACAGCATCTGGTGATTCTCATGTGAGTATAATCAATTATCCCGCATATTCAGCTAATGGTTTTTGTTAACCCCTCTAATCTTCGGTAGAAACTCCTCCATATCTTAATTCTCAAACCACATCATTATTAATGATTTATGGATTATGGCATGTTTACTTACAAGTAATATGAATATATACGAATATATGTTATAACATTTTATGTTATTTTCGATTTGAATATGTTATATATATATATATATATATATATATATATCTCAACAGCATATGATTTTTTATTGAATCTTGATATGCAGGACAAATGTGTGTACACCATTTACATAAAAACAGGGTCACTCATGAAGGCTGGTACGGACTCTAAGATAAGCCTGAGCCTTGGAGACTTCTCGGGCAGCTCAGTATGGGTGCCGGATCTTGAGTCATGGGGCCTAATGAGCCCATACTATGATTACTTTGAGCGTGGCAATCTAGACGTATTTAGTGTACGTGGTCCATGCATGGATGGACCCGTTTGCCGGCTCAGCCTCACATGCGATGGGTCCGGTGCTCACCCGGGCTGGTACTGCGACCACGTGGAGGTCGCCGCCACGGGACCTGACACTGGATGTTCGAAATCCATGTTTTATGTTCAACAATGGTTGTCTAGTGATGTTCCTCCGTTTGAGCTCACTGCTAGTGTTGATGCGTGTAATCCCTGGAATATTAATGCTGTTGCGGATGAGCAGGGGAAATATGGGAAGTTTGTTGCGGTCAATCCCTCAAGATATGAATAATTATATGACCATTTCAATGAGGAGAGAGGGAGGGAGGGTTGAGAAATATTTGGTGCTTTGTTTTGTTGGGAATTAATTCGATGTTATGGATCCGTTAATGTTTTTGTTCCTAACTTGTATTGCTGGGCTCTTTTGCTCCTAAGTTATTTCATGAAATTATGTTACCAATCACTAACAAGTTTTTGTTAGGACCAAGACATGAAATGAGAATAAAGAGCCTCAATCATATTTTTAGTGTAGCCATCAGATCAACAATTCATTTTTAGCATTATATCACTCACCAGATTAAGAACTAACTACTAATTACTTTGTAATTGTATTATAAACTTTTTAGTTTAATGTTTTTCTTGATCATACGTATAATTTAAGGTGTACTTGATGAGCTACTACAATAAGCTCGATACATTTGTTTCAATTATTTCGTTGATTGAATCATTGGCAAAAGTGAAATTTTGTAATGTATTAGGGTATCCTATTACATCTACCACATGGCGCGAATTCAACGGATTTTGATACTATGCTAACGTATTTTATATGTAAATGCAAAACCAGGAAAAAAAGGATTTTCTATTTATGGATATTTGGAAAAAAAATCTAACCGTCGTTTAAAGACAGAATATAAACTCGATGTCAAATTCTAATTGTCGTTTAAAGACGGAAAACTCGATCTTGCCTTTGCAGTTCTGTACTTATTGGGCCGGGCCTTGGTTGTTAGTTTTATTTCTCCCGTTTCACAATTGGATCTGTCCTTCTATAAATACTTGGATACGCGTCGTCCCGCTCTTGTTTACCAAACCAAAATTTTCGTCTTTTGAGCGCATTCACATCTGGACTCTCTCTGGCACTCGAAACTCGAAGCTTCTCCAATCTCAAGCCATGGAGACTCTCCAATCAAACCCTAACCCTCCTCCAATCGAAGCCCTAGATCCTCAACCCCCTACTTTCTCTAATCTGTCTTCTGAAACCGTACCCTCCTACGATCTCAAACCTCCTCCTCCTCCGGAAACCCTAGTCTCAGATTATAAGGACCCATCTCCACCCCCTCCCTCTGAAACCCTAGCTTCCAATGCTCAAAACCCCGGCCAAATTCCCCAGACTGGTACTGAGAATGGTAATTCAAACGACGGCAGCAAGACGCTTGCTCTCAGGCCCGATATCCAAAAGCCGCTGCTGTCGGAGAATGGATTGACCAACACCCATAGTGGCACCGACAGAGATGGCTCCGGCGGGGAGGAGGAGACGACGAGCAGGCGTCGCCGCCGCAGCCGGTGGGACCCTCAGCCCGAGTCAGACAACCAGAGTGGTGGCGGCGAGTCGGGTAGCGGCCCGAGGAAGAGGAAGTCGCGGTGGGCGGATGAGGAGCCGAAGCCGGTGATTCAGCTACCAGATTTCATGGGAGGTATTGAGTTTGATCCAGAAATTCAAGCTTTGAATAGTAGGCTTCTTGAGATTAGTCGAATGCTGTCTTCGGGTTTGCCTTTGGATGATCGTCCCGAAGGTGCCCGGTCTCCTTCACCGGAACCTATATATGATAATATGGGAATTAGGATTAATACTAGAGAGTTCCGTGCCCGTGAGAGGTTGAACAAAGAGAGACAGGAAATTATTGCTCAGATTATTAAGAGGAACCCTGCGTTTAAGCCTCCAGCTGATTACAGGCCGCCTAAGCTTCAGAAGAAGCTTTACATACCAATGAAAGAATATCCGGGTTATAATTTTATTGGTCTTATCATTGGCCCGAGGGGTAATACCCAGAAGAGGATGGAGAAAGAAACTGGTGCAAAAATTGTCATTAGGGGTAAAGGGTCGGTGAAAGAGGGTCGGCTGCAACAGAAGAGAGATTTAAAACCTGACCCTTCTGAGAATGAGGACTTGCATGTTTTGGTTGAGGCGGATACGCAAGACGCACTTGATGCTGCGGCTGGGATGGTGGAGAAGCTCTTGCAGCCTGTGGATGAGGTGTTGAATGAGCATAAGAGGCAACAACTTAGGGAACTTGCGGCCTTGAATGGGACAATAAGGGATGAGGAGTATTGTAGGTTGTGTGGTGAACCGGGGCACCGTCAATATGCATGTCCATCACGGACTTCGACCTTTAAGAGTGATGTTCTTTGTAAGATATGTGGTGATGGTGGGCATCCAACCATTGATTGTCCAGTGAAGGGTACAACTGGGAAGAAAATGGACGATGAGTATCAGAACTTTTTGGCTGAGTTAGGTGGGACAGTTCCTGAATCTGCAACTAAGCAGACCAGTACATTGGCTCTTGCCCCAGGCAATAGTTCAGTAAGCAATCCTCCTTGGGTTAACAGTGCTGGGAGTGCTAGCAGTGCATCATCACATCCAGGCTTGGGATCAGTTGGAATCAAGCCTACCAAGGAATACGATGACACAAATTTGTACATCGGATACTTGCCACCCACTCTTGATGATGATGGTTTGATCCGATTGTTTTCACCTTTTGGTGATATTGTGATGGCCAAAGTTATTAGGGACCGGATTACTGGATTGAGTAAAGGTTATGGTTTTGTGAAGTATGCAGACGTTCAAATGGCTAATAATGCTATTGCAAGCATGAACGGTTTTCGCCTGGATCAGCGAACCATTGCTGTCAGAGTTGCTGGCAAGCCTCCACAGCCTGCTGTGCCTCCTGGACCTCCAGCATCGACAATGCCCACATACCCTGTCTCTCTCCAGCCTGTTGGTGCCTATCCATCCCAGCAATTTACCCCAGGTGGTCCTCTTGGGAATGCACCACCTACTAGTTATGCGGGTACTCCTGTTCCATGGGGACCCCCGGTTCCTCCTCCTTATGCTCCGTATGCTCCTCCTCCTCCTCCTCCCGGTTCAACCATGTATCCTCCTCCCATGCAGGGTGCTTACGGTGCACGATATCCTCCTCCCCCCGGAGCACCATCTCAACCGGTGACCTCTAGTGAATCACAACAGAATTATCCTCCTCCGGGAGTTCAATCTGAAAACAGTACCTCTATGCAATCTGTACCAACTAATATTTACGGGGGCTCAGCAATGCCACCAAATGGCCAACATTCTTATCCTCCATCTTCGTATGGTTACTCATCTTACTACAATGCAGTTCCACCACCACCTCCTCCCCCTGCCCCTGTACCTGGTTCAACTGCAGACCAATCACAGAGCATTGGTAATGTGCCATGGGCCACAAATCCTCCGGTTCCTCCTCCAGCTTCTTCTACAGAGAAGACAGCCTATGGTGCAGATGCAGAGTATGAGAAGTTCATGGCGGAAATGAAATGATGCGGTCCCTCGGTATTACTCCGAGTTGATAGGTATGCACTGCGCATTTTTGTTTCACTATTGGTTACAGAAATTATTTTTGGTATCCTTTGGATGATTAATTTTTGCTTTGCCCATACGTTCATCCACTTGAACTAGTTGGGCCATCCATTTCTACAAAAAATTGAACCGGTAAAAAAAAAAGCCCCTCAACTATAGAGACTTTTATATCTGGGACTCAGAAGGAGTTTATTACTTCCTCAGTCTCTCCCTTGCTCCCTCCTGCTTATGTGAGTGGGTGGGTGAAGGAGGTGTATTGTCTTTTGATTTACTTTATAGTTTTTGAATTTTTTTTATTTTTGTTTTACAACGGGACTTTCACTTGGTCTTTTCTATATATGAAGGTTGTTTACGGAAAACAGATGATCATGCCATCATTGTAAGTATGTGATTCCCCAGGATAGTTCTGGATATCTATCCCTGGCTCTTGCACAATTGTGGTTCTCATTTTGTTAAGTAATGTCACCGATTTATTCTAATGTGTGACAGAAGCTAACATGCGCCCCCCTTCGCCTCCCCTCTGGCTGGAAAGGAAGAAATATTTTATAACGAATACGTTTCTTAGTGCTGTTTCTTTTTTGTTTTGTTGTATCACCCTAAAAGGCCTTGTTATGCAGGGATGTCTTAAAGACTCATGGATAGGATTACATTTATAGTTTCCATTCTTATTCTGGGAGGAGTTACATATTTATATTTTATCTACTGTCAATTCGCACTTACATGAAGTCACTGCATAATTCATTTATATGTTGCTTTTACAGTACTTGACACTTCTCCATTGCCATTATGTAAAATTTTGACAGGACTGATGTTTCTTGGAGCTCTTGTGAACCTGATTTCTTACCTCTTGCCATGACTTTGTTGAAGTTTGGGACTCACATCTTTAACCTTGCTGTAATGTTATGACCTTTGCAGAGACTTGGGCTGGAACTTCGGTTGATCGGTTTCATGTTGGAAAAGTCATTTTTAAACAATATGATTCGTTTTATTTGGGAGCTTATGTTGCACGTAATTTTTTTTATTTTGCTGGTTTCTTACTAATGTCTCTGTTTCCAAGTTCAGTCTGAACGCCCACTATTTGGCACTGATGGTTTATGATGTTATGTTGATTTTGTGGGTTGCATAACTAGTTTGCTGTTTGCCCTAACTGTTTTGTCTCTCTAGTTTTTATTGTAATTCAATTTTTACCTTGAGGACCCTAAGTTTTTCCAACCGCCATGGTGCTGAAGCTGCTCCAATGATGCAGTTATCATTCCATTTTAGAAGGTAATCATGCCTTACAACTTGACATTCTCGGTAGGTGGAAGATGTGCCGTCTTATGTTTTTCTTATATTAACTGCATTTCCATATGATACAATGGGATTTGATGTCCTTTTCCAGTTTTTCTTTCGCAGGTAAAAGAAACCATTCCTAATTGGTTATAGCTTATTTTTTAATGTCCAGAATTTTGGTGATGTCTATGGTTTGGCTTCATTAATTTTTACAATTATATTGGCATCTTAAAAAACCTAACTCCTGATTATAGCCTATATTGTGAAGCTTTGAGTGTTGCTATGTTTTGTTGAGGTAGAAAGAGGTCCATGTCGGTGTGTTCGAAATAGTCCATATCGGTGTATTCGAAATGATCCATGTTGTTGCAATTAGAAGAGAGGCTTAGGCTACAATGGATTTTTGTTGGTTTTGGGATGAACAATGGCTGATGAATAGTTTATTGCAGTAAATTTTTTCTGACAACAGTATTTGATATCCTGCAACTATGCTGACGAGGATTGGGGCAAGGAGTTGGGTTGTAGCATTTTGACAGACTAGTTGTTAGATTTAAGTTTCTGATTATAACAGTGCCCTGGGGCTGGAGATTTTAAGTAGAACATTTTCCAATTAAGGCTCTTGGACTCATATTAGCCTCTTTGCCATGCATCTAAGGTCCTTTTCTCTTTGTCCCAATAGTTTTGTAATCCAGTTGAGTGGGTGATTTGTGATTGATTGGTTACTGTTTTCAAGGGTTGGACAACAAAATAGCTGACTGGTTGGGATGGTGGGTTTAAGTTCCTTTTGTTTGCATTTTTGGTCAGCAGTTTAAAGCATGAGTCAAAACTCAGTGCTTGGCTTTGGTTGCTATTTTTTCTAATCTGGTTTCCTCCCTGATTTAAATGAAGAGAGGAGTTACATTTCAACTTTTCTCTTCTTTTTATTTTTCTTTTACTTTGTTATTCTTTTATGTTTCTTTTTACTCTCTTCTTGTCACTTAAATGGAAATTTATACTGTTCTACGTTCTCTTTGGCAATTGCTGTCTAAATGAATCCAGCTTAGCAATGGACTGGTTTTTTCAAATCCTATGAGATGATTGTTTTTGTGAGGTTTTCTTACACCAATCATATGATCATCATGGTCCTTCCACTAATTAGCAACTATGAATACCTTTGCATCTATATCGATTATTTTGACTTGTGATTTGTGTATGTGTACAGTAAGAGTGTGTTTGTATAGGAATTTACATCTTAATTGTGTCTTGAACATTTGAACAAACTGACGGCCTACAGAATTTTTGTTTTAATCCCTGACATGCGTGGCCTCCATCAATGGTGAATTACTGACCCTGTCTGCAGATGAGAGCATTCACATGACTCGGACTTAGTTAATTTTTCAGGTTAAGTGATGTATCGAAGTTGAGTTGATCAACCACTGAATGTGATGTTCACAATGCTAATGCAAATGTGTATATATATACTAGGCAGTGAGCATTTACTTTTACAGGGTATTTCATTATCAAATTTATGCAAGGCGGATGCTGTTTCTAGCTTTGCGGATCCTCATGGATGAAGCCACTAGATAAGATACATCACAATTATAGTGCACTTTCGAGTTAAAATCACAGCCTAAAATGGCCTTCTTAGAATCATGTTTCTCTTCTTGCCAGGCTCAGGGCTGTCAATGGGCTGGCAAATTGTGAATCTTGTAGGCTGCTCTTGTACAATCACAGCAATATTAACCAGTTTTCTAAAAGTTCTGGCTTCATGCTCAGCATTTACTTGAACGTTCAAACCCTATTTTGTTATTTCAACTGGCCAGCCTTGTATTCGTAGGAAATGAAATAGTATGGCAGCCTATTCTGAGTTGTATTGCGTCTAACATGCGTGGTTTATAGTAGAATGAGAGATTGGATCCTACCCTTAATTTGAATTGAACTTGGAATTTACCACCCTGAACTATTAAAAGGCTGGGGTGGAGTTGAAATGATGACACTTTCAAATAGGTAGAGGTTCGCTATTGTTTCAACAGTTTCTATTGCTTTGTTAAATAATACAAGCGTGAAATAAGTCATCCGTAGTCAAGCAAGCGTTTAACCCTGACGGGTTTTAACTTCACCACCTTTTCATTTCCATGCAGTTGTATTGCTATATAACTATGCAAGTTGAGGATGTTGCAGAGAATCGTAGCTGCACCATGGTAGATTTCTAGTGACAAGAAAGAGCTGCAAAACAAAAACAAAAACAGAACAAACAAAAAAGGGGCTCCACATGAATTCACTGATGGAGCTGCCAAGAAAATCATTTTCTAGTAGTGAACCCTAATTCTTTCACCATGAATATTTGAAACTACTAGAACGGCTTGTTATGGTGATGACTGAGGGCCTAGTGAAACCACTCGAGATGCTCACCTTCCTCGTTAATCTTTTGGGTGCCATTTAGTTCGCGAAAAAAATTTGATGAGAAATAAGAGTACTTTCATCTATTTGCCATGGCAAAGGACAAAGGCAAGACAAGGGATGTTACTATTCCTGTGAATAGTGGCAGCCCTTGCAAAAGGCTTGTTGTGTTTCCACCCATTGCCATAGCAACTCAATGACAACCACTATTCACATGAGATATGAGAAAATGAATTTGTATATAGTTATAGTGTGAGAAGTGAAGAATATGGTTAGGTACTTATTTAAAAAAATTCTGAAAAATTTTGGTAATTTTTTTGTATTTTTTTAAAAATTTGTTGCTAACTTCAGTAGCCCCCAAGCACGAACTTGGGCAAGGCTCGTTTTGCCTTGGGCTTGCCCAATACCTCCTCCTCGGGCTGCTGAAGCCCACTGGAAGCGCAACATGGGGCTTGAGCCCCCTCCTGCCCATGCCAAACTGCACCAGAGGAAGTGCTCTAATATCCCATGTTTTTTTCCCCTTAAGCTTTTCCTTTCCCCAATCAAGTTACAATAGGAATTTTTGAAGTTCGAGTACCTAGTTTGCCGAAAGGAATATGGGCTTCATTAATGTCAATTCATCTGTTGACACGTGGCGCCACTTGTTATTCAAGAAAATTCTCACGGTTAAGTATTGAAATTTAAGGGTTTCTATCAAACAACAATTAACAGCGTCGTTGTAAAGTCTTTCGTTTCTCTCATCGCCAAGGTTCGAACCTCGCCGGTTTCCCCTTTTTTTTTTTTCCTTCCCCATTTTCATTTTGCTCCTTCTTCTTCGTCCAGAAAAGCCATGGATAAGGATAACGACGGGTCATCTGGTCGTCCGAGAACGGTAACAACCAGCTCTCTCTATAATCAATTTTCTTCTTCAATTTCACTACAATTCCATCTTGGATTTGAATTCTTGCCCTGATTTTTTCTTGGTTCTTTTTATTTTCAGCATAAGTTTATACCGAAAGGTCGCAAAAAGACCAGAGCACCTGTGCCCGCACCGTATTTCTCAAAAACCCTTTCCTTCAAATCCCATTTCATTTCATTTTTTGGAAATATTTAACATGAATTTTTCTTTTAACGTTTTGTGCTGTGAATCAATGCAGTGAGGTTGGTGATAATGACGATGGTGAAGAAGCCAGAAAGGCCGAGGCTCTGTTTCGTCAGTTCAATGTAAGCTTGTCTTTTCTTTCTTTAACTAAACATTTTCTGTCCGTAATGATTTTTGATGCTCAACAATTTCTTGGTGTGTGTTTTGATGGAGTTAACTTATTCATTTTTTATTTGATGTTTTTTTGGGGCTGTTTAATAAATAATGGTGGTGTAAAATGTAAATTTTCCTTTTTGTCTTCTTTTTTAAATTATTATTTAATTTTTTTAATAAAAAAATTAGCTTTGGGATTGATTAAAATTAACTAAATACAAAAGGCTCTGTTTGGTTGCTCAGAAAGGGTTGGCGGTGTGAAATCTACAGTTTGGGTCGTATGGTGTGTTTGGTTGCGTTATCAAGATAAGACAATATGGATATTTTCGGGTTGTTCTATATTTTCGGGATACTTTTGGATATCTAAACAGAAGAGAAGGAAAGAAAACAAAAGATTTTCCTTTAGGGTTGGCAGAAAAGATAAAATGAAAAGACCAACTTGATGTTGGAGATGGAATCACAAATTTTCTTTTCTTCGTTCCTTGTTAAAAATGGAGGGCAATCTTGTTTGGTGAAAAATGCAAGTTTTGATTGATTGTCAAGGCTCTTGCAAGATGGGCTGTAACTCACTTCCAATAACCCATTTGTAGCATTTTGAAAGGAAAAAGAATTCACCTTCCATGCATGTTCACTTGTTCAATTGATCTCAGTAGATCAGTAGCCAGCCTCCTTCCCCAGTTTTGCCAATATGTGCAGCTGAATGTGATTGTGAACTTTATAACCTTGAGTTACTCTTACTCTTTTCATGATATCTATTTTGCATTGGAAATTGTCAGTAGAATGTGATATTGGATAATTCGGTTTTATCATCTTTCAGTAATGTATATATACTGAACAGATAATTGATTTTTATCCTTGCATTTACAGGAGAATTCCCAAAGACGGGGGCCTAAAGTCGAAAAGAAATGTAATTTCTCATTAACTCTGCTTTCATATTATAAACTTGACATATTATCTGTCGAGTTGCTTATAATTATTAGATTTTCTTTAATATTATAAGTAGTTGTTCTCTGCTTGTTAAATTTCATAGGAATAGGAAAGCATGTTCTTGATGGCTGAGTAGCTGAATAGAACGGATATTACCAATCCATATATCCAGATGGAGAGGAGTCTGAACTAGGTTAATTACTTCTTAAGATTATATTGTTTCTGGTTTCGATTGACGTTTGCTGTTCAAACTGCAGCTTCAGTGAGAGTTGCATTTGGTCCCGGAGCAGATACATCCTCAACATCTATTAGAACATATGGAACTGCAAAGGATGGTTATACTGGCAAAAGCAGCAGCTCAGTACTCGAAGACTCTGATGATGATCAAAGTCTACCAACTTTGCCCGAAGTTGGAAAAGATGTGTCCATGGAAGATGCTACTGATGTAGCACCTCTTCAGACTGTGAAGCAAAGATATACAGAATTTTGGGTAAGAACACAAACCACCACCAACCCCCACCACCAAAATGTAACCCTCTCTACATCTCTCTCTCTTTGTATCTTCTCTCTCTCACCACGTCTGGTGCTTTTACAGGATTCTGAGACTACATACTATCCTACTACTCTCCCTCTCAGGAAGCCCAACTCTGGAGACCCAGGTGGTCTTTTTAGTGGCACTTTTAATCATCTTAATCTTGTCATTCATAGATCTTATGATTTTTGCATTAGCAAAAATGTAATGATGATTTTCATTCTCATTCCCACTCTAAGTGTTTACCATTTGCTTGTTTTTCTTTTAGAAGTCCTTAATGTGAATGAATTTGGGGAGGATGCTGAAAAAGAGTATGATGAGAGCACTATAAACCATGCTGCAGAACTTGGGCTGCTGGTGGGTATTAGATTAGTAGTATTAATGATAAACATATCCTCTCTGATATCATAATGTTAACCCTTAACAGAGTGATATATTTGATGGGTTGTTACTAAAATTTGTTGACAGGAGGAAAAAGCGGAAGCAAGGATGTTGTTTGTTCAACTTCCTACCATTTTGCCACTGACCAAGCGATCAGCTACTGCAAAGGGAAAAGAGAAAGTTGGAAGCTCAACATCACTGGAGAGCACAGGTGCTCCAAAGAAGGGGTGTAGTTTGGAGGAACTGCCTGGCGGATATATGGGTAAAATGCTAGTCTACAAGAGTGGAGCAATCAAGTTGAAGCTCGGAAATACCCTCTGTGATGTGAGTCGTAGCCATTCGCCTTAAGCTAAAAGAAAACCATGATTATCAGTATAAATTTTTTTATCATCGTTTTTTTTAGTCATGTATATGTTCGTTACGAGCTACATTGGAGATGTTATGAAAATATTCTCTCTTTTGTGTTTATGGTATATGCAGGTTTCACCTGGTTCAGATTGTATATGTGATGAAGATGTTGCGGTAATCAACACTGAGGAGAAGACATGTTGTGTTCTTGGAGGGATCAGCCACCGAGCTGTAGTAACTCCTAATGTAGATTCCCTCCTAAATGTGATTAGTTTGGACTAAGTGCAGCGATTTTAGTTACCCGAATTCGAATTATGTGCAAATTGAGGTGTAAAATGGGGGGAATTAAGCACATGAGAAACATGGTAATGGTAGATCTGTAAAGGGAAAAGCTTAGTCTGAACATATTGCTAGAATTGCTGACGGTTCTAACTGATGAAATGTGAACGGTTGTGGTAGGTGCAGCTAGTAGGTGATATTGGATCGATTTTAACCTTGACAAAATTTCTAGTAAAAAGACCAGGATATTATTCTCTTTCAATGATCTTCTCTTTTTCATTGTAAAATTCTAATTTTTACGAAAAGATCCAGGTGGTACATTTTACAGGTAAACCCTAATATGATCAGAGAGAGGATCCATTATTATGCATCCACCTAATCTATTGCAAACCATGGAAATCGTAGTTAAAACTTTAGGACCACCACCCAATAACGCTGTTTTAAGGGCTTGAGAATGCAAGTAAAACCTACGACTCACTTTCTTGGCAATGAACAAAAAGTTAATGATCATTCATCTGCATATTCAACAAAACATAGCTAAATATCCCACAAATCCCCATATTGCAGGCAACCTGCTAACTCCCATATGCCAGCTCTGGACGTTCATAACAAAGCATTTGAAATATAAAATGCGTAACAGTGCAAAGGAGTGGAAAACTTCCACAGCAAGTCATCCATCCAATGGGGATATACTATCTGTGATGTCGTCGGATTAGGCTCAAGCCTTGTGGCTTCGAGTAACCACCACAACCAAGAGGACCACAACGGAGAGCATGAACGATGTTCTCAGCTTCTCCTCAAAGCGATTGCTAGCTCCTGCATTCACCTTCTTACTGGCTGGAGGATGAATTAAGTCACCCAGGACCTTCGTAATTTTCTCAATTACTTCCATGACTTTCACCATGGTGTTTTGGAAGATCCACTTCACAATGTTTGTTGCTTTATTTTTATCATCGGCGTCCTCATCGGGACTCTGGGAGCTATTGTCTTCAGCTGCATATATGCAAACCAGCATTAGTCATGTGTGCATTCATTGAACTTGTGAGCATTGAGAAGGTTTTCATCTCCCAGTTCCCAATTATTACATGATTTTCAGCTTAGTTAAATTAGAAATCTAAAATTCATCAAACCCTCCCTATGTATTTTCAATGGAAGAATTGTCCCGGCAACGAGCAAAACCTGATTTCAAGTTTATTGCTCTAAGCTACAAAATTCATCTTAATCTCAACATGGAACATACATTAACAAGAAAAACAGGTAACTAAAGCCAGGAAAACAACACCTAAAAGAGGCATCAACATATAAGATATAACAGAAGCTTAAAGATCAAAAAAACTATTATAGTCCTTAGTGAAATTCATATCATACCAACCTGCATAGAAAGATTCCCTGAGCTCCCGCACCACCTCATTGCTCATCACAGCATCCCAAACTGCTCTATCAGATGACAATGAGATCACCATTCTCTACACAAGAAAATCAAAATACCCTTATCATAATTGTGCAAAGTTCATATGATGAGATTAGACAACACAAAAACAGGATACAGTATATTTCACCCTCTGCAAGGCTGCAAGGCAGGAAGTCAAAAAACAGCAATCATCTTTTGGAGTGGTTTGCAAAACAAATAATTAATTCTACAGAGTCAATGGTCTAAATTGTTAAATTTATTTCTACTATGCAAACAACTATTCAGAAAATGAATAAATAAATAACTCTAATCTCATATAGTTTCTTTCTAGTAATATAAGGGTCAACAGAGATAGGGACCTGCACGGATGACTCAGTCTGCAATAAATGGAAAGCATCATAAACTCTCTCAGAAGCATGAGGCTGCAACATCTTTGAATTACATAGATACGCAGAAGGCTCCATCCAATCTAACTCTGACCCAACTGAGGACACTCTGTCCACCAAACCAGCTGAGGCACTTGTGATTTTATCAGCCACATCCCTCTCCAACTCAGAAGCATATTTATCCCTGACGAACTGGGCATGAGAAGGACTGAAAACCCTACCAATTTCATGAAACAAGGCATTATTAGTAGTATAAAATAACAGAAAAACAAAAAACCAAAAAGGATTGTAAATTGTATCAAAAACAAGGGTATGAGTTGTTTACTGTTGAAGGGCAGAGACAGCGTTTTGAACTTCATCCCTGGAAGGAACAGGCCCAAGAACAAAATCCTCAAGAAATCCATGTCTTCTCTCATCATCTTCTTCACTGCTCCCATTATCCACAGTCACCCAATCAATGTCATCAAAATGAGGAGAAGAAGGCCAGCTGGGTACGCCAGAATTGGCAGGCAGAGGAAGGTTGTATGAAGCAAAAGGTGAAGTGGGTGAAGAGAGAGAGAGGTTATTGGAGGAACTAGGTTTTTGGGTGTGCCTAGAAGTTGAAGTAGTTGCAGTAGTGGTGGTGTTAGTAGCAGAAGAATTAGAATTAGAAGACGAAAGGGGTTCTTGAATTGGTGGGCCACCAGCAACACTTCTTGTGACTGCTGCTCTGCTCACAGCCCTGAACATGCTTCCTCCTCCTCCTCCTCCTCCACCACCTCCCATGCTTTTTCCCCCAAACATCATCTTCAGAGTTTCTTTTCTTATCTTTTTCTTCACATACCTTCTCTCAGACTCACCCTGGATCTCTTGTCTTCTTCCTTTTCTATGCAATTGTAATCTAATCTAGAGGCAGAGTTTGTGGGATCCCTTTATTTGTCTCTCTGACTCCTGCTTTGTTTGATATTCTCGAGGACATGAATGGATAGGGTTATTTTAAAATGGAATGGTACAAAAGTTCCATTGGCGTCACACTTCTTATTTCTTGAATTGAAACTGTTATATGAAAATAAGTAAGGTTCTCTCTGTCCATCTGTCCAATTTTTGGTTCTGAGTGGAGGTGGCTCTCTCCTATGAGGTGGCCGTGGCTCTCTCCGATGTCTTCTTGATTATTATTTTGCTTGGATATACATGTCGTCTGTTGTTGTCATGTTCATAACTTTACTCTTAACAAAAATGCTTCCCAAAAAAAACAAAACAAAAAAATGCGTTGAAATATTTATTTTCTTTGCCAGGAAATGCGTCGAAATATTTAATATTAGCTTTATTATGCTGCGTGTAATTATGGTCCAATTTATTGTTGTTGGTTAATAGTTATGATGAGGCACCTTACTCCGATCCTCAATCAAGTTTAGCGTCTTAATTTGTCTCTCCATCATTCGTTAAGTCGGTTACTAACTCCATAGAAATCGATATGACCTCTCTCTTTTTGTTCTTTTTTTTTTTGTTATGTAGGAGTCACAACATCGATTTTGACAGGGTTTTTATGGCACTTGACGGTAAAGATAAAGTGAGACAGAAAATATAAGGAACATGCTTAACATGCTTTCAAGAGCACTACAATGATTTAATCCTTTATATTTTGTTGTAAATGCAGCTAAAATAAAGGGACATTTTGGAAAAAGCAAAAGGAGAGAGAAAAATTTTAAAAGAAGCAAAAATGGACAAAAATGCCCTTATTTATTTTTAGATTTCCTAAGGAATCCAATACATTTGCATGTCTTTGATTTGAAAGTTGAGTGGTTTTTTTGTCTTTTTTGAAAAAGCTTTGGCTTTTTCCAAAAGTGAAATTTTTTTTATGTCTAAAACCTAAAAAACCTTAAAAGTAAAACCATTAATTTTTAAAATAAAATAATAAAAAAGTATTTTTTCCAAGGAAATTCCATTGTCCCCCAACCCAACCCAACCCAATACAAAAATTCTTACACAAGTTTGGGCTGCAGAAGTCTAGGCAGGCCCAACTTGGCCAACCCTAAATTAGCCCTAACAAAGTCCTCGCAGGGTACTTTGGTCATTTGAAAAACCAACACGTAAAATACTCTAAAACCCTGGACCCAGAACCTATATATAACAGAACCTCTGCTTCAATGTCGTAAACTGCAGGCGGAGGAAGAGAAAGCGGTGGCTGTATACTCTGTAGCAAAGCAATGGGTACGTTATTTTCTGCACACATCTTTTAATCCTTCTGTCTGTATCTTTTTCAATGCACGCAATCATAACTTGTTGCGTATTGCAGAGAGCCTCTCTGCATCAATTCAAAGATTAGTAACATCACTGAACATTTTACCATGTACAAATAAAAAAAAAGGCTAAGATTTATTGAAAGATGAAAACCAAATATAGGATTTGAGAAACTGACCCCCTTATTTTGGTTTGCAAAATGTTCATTTCATGAGTTCTTTTAGGCGTAAATTAACAATGGAGAAACCAACTTAAAGGAAATTTTGTACAATGTTGACTTATTCTTCACTATTATTGCACTCATGACTGCAATTTGGATGAGTTTTCAAATAAAAAATGTGAACATCTTTGAGCTGTTACGGGCTAGAAAGAGTACGAATTATGTATGATTTGGATTGAGATTAGGTTGGATCAAATATGAATATCTTGCAATTTAGAATGAAAAAGTAGAGTTTTTATTTTGCCGTTTGTTATCTCTTTTAATTTCTGTTTTCCTGGGATTATTGTTTTGAATGTGATGTACATTTTGTGGTTTTGATATTATTAGGATATTACAAGTACACCTCAGAGTTAGGGAGAAAGAAACAATCGGATGTTATGAGGGCTCTGCAGAGGTTGAGAGCCTTCGAGTACCGCCACCAACCTTCCATTGTGCGTGTCACTCATCCCACCTGCCCCGACAAGGCTCACCGCTTAGGTTACAAGGCCAAGCAGGTCACTACATCATGCTCTTCATCTCTGGCATTCATCCATTACAATAACTCTTCTACTTGCTGCTGGCACTTGTTATTTTTGTGACTAAAGTTGTCCTCTTTACAGGGCTATGTTGTTTATCGGGTGCGCGTGAAGCGTGGTGGGCGTAAGAGACCAGTTGCTAAGGGCATTGTCTATGGTAAACCCACCAACCAGGGTGTTTCCCAATTGAAATTCCAGCGTAGCAAGCGTTCTGTTGCTGAGGAGCGTGCTGGCCGCAAACTTGCTGGTCTCAAGGTTCTCAACTCTTACTGGGTTAATGAGGTACTATGCACAAGGTGCTTTTAGCTTGATTGTATTGTATTCTTACATTAATTATAGAAAACTAGAAATATTTAGTGATTTGAATTGCACATTGTTAATGTTATAATATATCTTTTGATTCTGTTTCTTGCAGGATTCGACATACAAATACTTTGAGGTGATCTTGGTTGATGCTGCTCACAATGCCATCCGCAATGACCCCAGGATCAATTGGATCTGCAACCCTGTCCACAAGCACAGGGAGCTTCGTGGGCTCACTTCTGCTGGAAAGAAGAACAGAGGTCTATGTGGCAAGGGACACTTGCACCACAAGGCACGACCCTCCAGGAGGGCAAACTGGAAGAGCAACAACACCCTTTCTCTTCCTCGCTATCGTTGATTGTTTCTGACTTCAAATTTGCTTGTGCTTTTTTTAATTGCCCTAGTTTCATCTTCTTCGGCTTTTAGGGATTGCAAGAGACCAATTTTCTTTTAAATTAAATTTATATGGTTGCGTTGAACATGGGTAATAATAATATGATGCTTGCGTTTAAGCTGTTAAGTTTCTTTCTTGTTAGACTGCTTCCAATTTTCTTTTCTTTCACCTATGGTTGCTCTCGCTATGTTATGAATTGTGAGTTGGTTTTCTTTGTTTGGGTATTGGCATGGGTTTTTAAACCAAATGGTTTGGGATTGGCCTTCGCTTGGGTTTTTTAACCAAATGGTTTGGGCTCTGATATGATAATGGGGCAAACCAAAGCTCAGACCAAAAGAAACAAGTAGTGTACGTACAAGTTGAACTGCTTTTATTTTTGTTTTGTTGTGTTTCTTGGTGGGTTGCTTTTGCTTTATTTCTTTTAGATATAAGAATTCTGCAGGGAAAGAAATTGCATAGTTGGATTGGATCCACCATCTGCAAGGCAATCATTTCCTTGAGCTCCTCCACCAATTCAACCACAACCACGCTGGCACTGCTACTTGGTGGGAAAGCATCAGCATAGTGGGTTTGCTTTCCCTCAAGTCTTCACCCTGTCTATCTTTTGAGTCTTCAACAGTACTAAAATGTCAAATACCAAAAGACTTTTTGCTGCATTTGGCATTTGAGAATTTGAGAAACAAAACAAACCCCTTGATGCAAAAACCAAAAGCTATTGAAGATCAATTCAATAAGCTAGGGCTGTGTCATGAGCAAAAAGGTTATCCTTACGCGTTTAACAATCATGAAATGTAACGACTTAAATAATGTTTTTTGGACACCATGTGAAGGCAAAGAAGCATGAAATTAATTGAAAAGCAAATATCTAGGTTGACGAGTGATGAGTTAGAGGAGCCTGCCTTGCCTTAGAGAGAGAGAGAGGGAGAGAGAGAAGCAAAGAAAGAAGAAATCAATTGTGATGATTCATAGGACATCCACGGGTATGTTGGTTGTCCTCCAATGTCTCTAGAAATGACCGGCAATGGTAATTATAAGCTTTGAAAGGCTTGGCCAGAAAAAGTAGAGTAAAAAAGAGAAAGATGAAACTTATGATTAAGATGTAGACTAGGGTTTTAGACAAGTATCCAACAAAAACACATGAATATATTAAAGTGAACTTCTCATCTTCCAAAAGGAAATGATGGCTATTTTTGAGTTTTTCCTCCTTAGGAGGTTGAATTTCTTGCCAGTTTTCATGGCATTTAGTCTTTTCATTTGATTCAAAGGGCAGGAAAGCAAATATAAAATATAAAATACAATGCATTTTAAGGGGGAATATAAGAAACACTAGGATCATCACACTGTATTTTTGGCGCATGAATTATCTAAAACTTGGTGCAACACACATGGAATAAAAGGAAATGCTTGCTCTCACCTAGGCTAGACCGGAAAATGTTATCGAACTCGACATTTCTACTTATATTTTTCTAGCTCTCTCACGCAGTGTGAGTTCTACATGGTTCCACTTCATCTTTCACAGTCGAAACAAAAAGACAAGAATTGGGTTTAAAAGCATTTTAAATTAAAATAGCCAATGCAATCGTTTGACAAACAAACCCCATAAGAATGTGACTGATGAATTAGAGAGAGAAAAAAAAAAATATCCAAAAAGGAAAAGTTAATGCAGAAAGTATATATGCCCAGATGTTTCTTCTTCCGCTGAGCCTGAGGGGTCCCTGCCTAGCTGGCTGATCCTTGGTTTTCTGAGGGTTAATATCAAACTGAGTTGCCTTATGGCTGAATTAATATCTCTGCTAAACTCATGCTGATGTTCTTGAGTTGGACATATTCTAGTCCTTTAAGCAAAGTTTTGTTTATCGTGCATGAAAACGAAGTGGATAAACATCTGAAATCACAAATCTAAACACCAATTGGCAAAATATATGTATATGACTGTGAAGTTTGCTTTATCATCCTCTCTTTACCTAGAACTGAAATTGGGCAGCTTCCCAAAACCGTCCCCCCACCCACACAGAGTTTTCCTACCTTTTTTTTATCCCTTTGCTTTGGAAGGTCTAAATCATTTGCTTGTCTATTTCATTCCTACACATACTCTCAACCTCAAAACCTATCTTCATTTTAAAGCATCTTTTTTTTTTTTTTTCAAAACCCTTCTAAGTTCTAACCACACCCCCAAACGATAGAGCATGGCATGTACATGCAATGATAATATGGGACCCTTTTTCTTTGGAATGTTGTTCAAATTCACTTCGACCACAAAGATTCACCGCTATATGTAAAAAGGTTTTCAAATGGGTGATTATGATAAAAGCTCATCGATCACATGGATCCCTCTTAATTATCTTAACTTTCTAAACCAACCCAAAAAAAAAATATATCTGTTTTCAAGCCAAACGACAAAATTATGCTCCATGTTACAACTAGCTAACCCTTTTTACCCTTTTGTTAATTATATAACTTGCATTGTGATCAAAGTCAATTGACGACCTATATCAATTTCTCAACTTCTTATATCAAAAAGGTAACCATAGTTCTAATGAGACAACATAAGTCCCCTCCCCCACCCCAAAGGTAATATTTATTTACCCTCATCTTGACGGATGTGAGATTCTCGTTTGAGACTGCTTCTCTAGAAAGTACTTATGCTCATAAGCGTTTCTAACAAAAGCACTTTTGTTATAAAAATCTTGAATTTTTTCATTAAAAAATATCCAATTGATTCTTGGAAAAGTACTTGGAATGCTTCCTAAATAAACACATAACAGTTGCTTCTTCATGAATCGCTTCTATGACCCAGAAGCGCTTCTACAGTATTGTAAGCAAAGCAAACAAGCAACTTCTTGACGGAATTAACGTCGGTGGAGTTTTACCAATATATATCAAATCCTACAGCCAAAAGTGTGATGCTATTGCTACATAGAGAGGATTAGGAAAGTTAACAAGACATGGGATAAAAAAAGGCATGTGCCTTACTTACTATTTAGCACCAAGGGGATCTGCTCCTTAATGCATCTAAAAAGGCATAAAGGAAACTTAATAAGCGTTAAGTGGTCAAATTAGTCATCACAAAACGTCACTTAATTAGACACCAACGAGTAGAGAAGGGATAGATAAGGGTAATGGGTTTGAAGTAGTTGTTCTAGTCCTATTGTTTTCCCTCCTAAAAGATGAACCACTTTTGAGACGCATCATTTACAACTTAATGATATTTGGGATTGGTTGCGTATATATGTCTCATTCTTCAGAATTTGGGAAAGGTTTGGTAACAATATATATACTAATTAAGAAATTGAAATTAGAGTGCCCTCTAATTTTTGTTTAAGGGAATATTTTATACCAAATGTGTCCTTCTAATCAAGCATAGACCTCTGTATTTACATCTTAATTGAGTGGTGAACCAAGTTATTGTATTTTGTACATGATTGATACGTGTCCTCCACTTTATAAATTGTATTAGTTATGGACTATATGTTGTTGAAAGAGATATATATTAGCCTTTAGGTCCAAATCTTTGACTTAGACACATGCTGATATCACACACTCACCTTCAAACCCTAATAATTCTGTTCTCCACTAATCAGAAAGTGTATGCTATTATAACTTATATGAAGAAAAAAAAGGCATACGAGAAAAGTTTATATTCACCAAGTTAGAAAATAAAAGAGAAGATATAAATTAGGTAGATTGGCCAGGATAATTTAGGCAGATTGGCAGGGACAATTTTTTCACCAAGTTAGCAAATAAAAGAGAAGATATAAATTAGGCAGATTAGCCGAGACAATTTTTTCCTTTTATTTGGTGAGTTTGATTATAACTAAAAATGATTAATTTAGAATAATATATTCACAAAATTTCAAAGAGCAAGCAAATGACTAAAAATGAATAGAGAGGGGGAGGTGAGGTGACTGAATGAGTTGTAGGACTGCAAGATCTGTGTTTTCTTCTTCTGCAGAAAGAATGAAAGTGGGGTCGTTGTTTTACTCTCATTTACTCTTTATTCTCGAGTATGTTTTCAATTTTTCAATCATTATGTCATTGGAGCCCACTCGGTAACAAAATTTAATCTAGACTCTCTCCCCTCTCCCCTAGTTAGACCGCTGTCTGCTTTGGTTTGGGCCATGCTGGCTTCTAGTATTTGTACATCGGCCACGGACGTTTCATTTTTGGGCCCTTTGCCATGTGCACAGACCTCACTATTTCTGTTGTTTCTTTATTTACATAAAGAAATTGAATGGAACTTTTCAAAGTTGACCATGCTACTATTGAATGTGGTCCTCCCAGTCCTAACCCTGCATCTGCCCAGTGCTTAGCCACACCCTACTTAGAGAGATTAGAATAAGGGGTTACAGTGAGGGGGTCTTTAATAACCGTTCGATTCGGTGCAGGGTTATCATTGAACTATTGGATTGTAATCCCTCAACACCACGTCTCATTATAGAAGCTCCCCACACTACCATATAAACCAAAGCAACACATGCATGAACTCATTAACAACAAAGTTTTTTGTGCTTACATTTAACTTAGGATAAAAGGGTTTTCTTTTTCTTCTTTTTTTTTAAAAAAAAAACAGAAAATGAATTCATGAAAAGCAACCCATTTAATCTGACAATACAAAAAAGCAAACTGAATCTTTGTTTGTTCTTTTGCATTTGTGTGGCAATTGCTGCATGGGGCTCTGGCATCGGCCTTAAAATTTGGCACTAAGGGCCAACAGAAAACGCCACTGCCAGATTCCAGATTACAACGTTTTGGTAGTTTGTTTATTTCGAAACTCGTTAAGCTTGCATGTTTGTACAACTCCCAGAATTCGATTCATCCAAAGTACAGCACACAACAGTCACGTTGAACTTGCATAAATTGACAAAACTCTGAAAACCACCTGTTGATGGTTACTGTTCAATTTCTCGAATACAACAAAACCCACCCTTCTTTTTTTTTTTTTCCCTCCCGGTTAAAAATAAATACAAATTTTATTTCCCAAAAATATGAAAATAAAAAGTAAGGTCATGTCATGTATACATACTCACTCTTTTTGTTTTTGTTTGGGAAAAGATTTGGTTATATACTTTGTTAGAGTTGGAGGAGAA